AAAGGATTATAAATCGTTCTACTATAAGGACACGTGCACACGAATGTTCATTGCAGCACTGTTTACAATAGCAAAGACCTGGAACCAACCCAAATGCCCATCAATGATAGACTGGACAGGGAAAATGTGGTACGTATACACCATGGAATATTATGCAGCCATCACAAATGATGAGTTTGTGTCCTTTGTAGGGACATGGATGAACATGGAAACCATCATTCTCAGCAAACTGACACAAGAGCAGAAAACCTAAACCGCATGTTCTCACTCATAGGCGGGTATTGAACAATGAGAACACATGGACACAGGGAGGGGAGCACTACACACTGGGGTCTGTTGGGGTGAAATGGGGGAGGGACGGGGGGGTGGGGAGGTGGGGAGAGATAGCATGGGGAGAAATGCCAGATACAGGTGAAGGGGAGGAAGGCAGCAAATCACACTGCCGTGTGTGTACCTATGCAACAATCTTGCATGTTCTTCACATGTACTCCAAAACCTAAAATGCAATAAAAATAAATAAATAAAAATTTTTAAAAAAGATTTGTTACAAATGACATTGGTTATTGGACATGATGATTTTCTCACCTGTGCAATGCAGATTATGTTTTCTTGTATTTTAGCTTTATTGCAAAGCTGGACTGCTGCAAGGACTGTTGCAAGAAAGAATGTCTAATTCCCTTCTATTGGAAAGCTGTGTTTTCTCTCCTATAACCCTCTTTGTATACTGGTATCAAGGGTAATGTATGGAAGTGAGCTTTAACGTTTAGTTGAGCTGTGATGACAACTAGTCAGTGTTGCAGTGCCTATCTCTGAACCAGTAACAAGTAACTATAACGAGGGGAAAAGAAATGACTGATTGGAATAATCTTAGGTTACATGTTCTGCCCCTGGAAAAGGGAATGCTGAGCTGCTTCACTGAAACTTCCGGGGCTGACAATGGGGCAGTGGTGGTTCCCTAAAACCCAATCAGAGTTCTTACCAAAAGGAGGAAGAATTGAAAGCTCAACAACCAAAACGGCAAATGTTTATAATGCAATTAACTTCTTTCCACATACTGCATCAAAGCACAGAAAATTCTAATTCTTTCCTCAACCAAAATTCTAATTCTTTCCTCAAACAATTAATTACATATGAATAACATATTAGTATGCATGCAAATAATTTTTAAAATGCACACATTTAAATTTCAAATATGAAAAAACTTGACAATAAGTTATTTGGTGGTACCTCGTTATTAATGACAATCTACAACCCGACTTTGGCTTACTTACTAGGGGTTCTGTGAAGGATTCAGCAATTACCAAAATCTTCAGATATCTGTGAAAATTTTGATTTCCTTGCCAAAGGTTTAAAGTGAAATATTGAAATTAATTTCTGTTCAAGAGAAAGTTAAGAGAAATACAGATATAGACTCTAAAAGAAAAATACAGATGTGAGGCCTGCTGCCTCTAACTAGTTGTTGATTTTAGGCAAAGCTGTTAAATCTCGATTTCTCAATTCATTATGAGAATGATACCTATCTCACTGTATTATTTTGAGAAGTAAATAAATACATACTTATAAAACATACAAGTGCCTGGCAAAAAGGAAACAGGACACATTTCCAGATACAACCATTATCATCACCATCACAGGAATTTTAAAATTGGATGTATACAATCTGCATCTCAACCTGACATTTTTTTTTCCTACTTGTAGTCACTTCCATAATGTGGTAAGATTTTGTTACTTTGGGGAAAAATAGGAATCAAGTAAGAGAGAAAGTTTTATTTAATCAAACTTGAAAAAGTGGCTAATATAAAGCAAAATATACAGAAATATGATTATATAAAATGTTGATTACTTGTGCAAATATTCCTACTCTTTGAAATTTAGGGATTTGGGGAAGGAGGCCTCCGAAATCTATGCCTGGCAAAGAGCAAGAATCTGGCAAAACTGCTGCAAAAATGGGCCAGATGCAATAATGAACCTGAGTTATATTGAGTAAGTTCCATGTCATTTCAGGAAATAACAATACAGGGCTCATGTGTTATGCAGCGTCCTTGAAAAGCTCACAGCCTAGTGGGTAAAAAACATCCATAAATAAGGAAGTACAATGTAATGTGCTAAGTGCTATGTGAAGGCAAGCACTGGGTGTTCTTTTCCCCTATCAGAGGGGGTTGAAATTTGAGATACCTTTTAGTCAGATTATATTCATTCCACTGCATTTCAGTGGCTCCTCTGTACCTGTCTGTAAAAGCACATAATGGTAAAATACCAGCCCTTCCCACTCCTTAGACAGGCCCATGTGAACATCAGTGAGTTAATGTACATTAAATCATTGAGCTTTTCTAAAATAAATTGCTGTTTAAAAAAAAAAATAACCAAGGGACTGTTACTGAGATGATCACAGTGTCCTGCAATCTGCTTTTATCTTTATCAAAAGAAACTGAGCACAAACACAGCACTGAAAATATTTCAAAAGCATAAAGAAGATAACTACCACAGAAATATATAATGGTCCCAAAAATTCAGACCTACACTTTATCTGATGACAGAGAGAGAGAAAGAGAGAGAGAGAGAGAGATACCAGGGTGAAGACAAAAGAATTGCTTCCAAAAAATTCTGTAAGGATCTTATGTTTCTAAAAAAGGAGGGAAATAGGAAATAGAGGAATGTAAAAGAATTTTAGAACTAGAAGTGAGTTTAAAGATTATCTAATATACTCATTTATTTTAAGAAAACCTAAAGAGATTAAGCAGCTCATCTAAATTAATAGAGGAGCCAGCCAGAAACAGCAATCAAATCTAAAACTCTCCCCACTATAGAAGGGACACCCACAATTATTTTAAGGTCTATCATATTGATAATATTGTAGCATCTGTGGTTCAGATTCACGGCAAGTTAAATAGGTTTTTTTTTTTACAAGAATAAGATCTACCATTTTTGACACTGCTTTTGAAAAAGAAAAAAAAGAAAGACTTCTAAATTTCAATTAAGCTTACAAACAAAACCTCCCTAACACATCCATTTTTTTGTTTCATTCTTATGCATTAATAATATGGACTTCATGTTCCTGCCAGCTGATGACTTCCTCTCGTTTTTGCCCTCATTTGAAACTGTATTTACTTTATTACCTTTTAATTTTTTCCTCATTTGTTATCATGAATTTAAATATCAGAAGCCTGGTAGTGTCAGCACAAATTTGGTTTTGAATAAAAACTGCCTTGAGGGATCATAAAGTAAGAATGACAAAATGCTGACAATTTCAGGTTTCTCTCCTAAAACCCATCATACTCTATGCTTTCACCAATTGACATTAAACTTGACTCTTCTCTTTGAAACAAAAGTGCTTAAGTTTTTTAAATACGTGATGGTTCATCCCACTAAAAATATTGAAGGATTTAACTGCTGAAGAGGCAGAGCTTGAAATGCATCATAAACTAAAACCATCATCAGAGTATTCACTCTCATATTTTCTTCACCTACATTCATGGCAAAAGCTTTTGACACTTGGCAATGTGTTTAGCTGCCTAATGGAAAATAACAAAATGAAAAACAAGAAAATTCACAAGTCACTTTGCAAAGTTACATCCCCGAACTTGAACTGAGATTCAGTAAAGATAACCGTAATATAGATCTATCAAGTATATAATTTTAGGTTCTGTTTAATCTAGCTTCAAGAAAATATTAATTGTTTTCACTTTGTAAACTTAAAATGCTTTTGGTCCATTACCCAGGTAGATGTTGACAGAAAATGTCTTATATTTGCTGCTACCATTATAATAAACATTTTATTGTGACCATTATTTGAGGCCTATTTCAGTTTTCATTTCTGTGGTGCCTGCCATCTCTCCAAAATATTTTACAAGTAAGAAGTCTGAACTAGGGAGATGGCCTGAAGCTGCTGAAATTGCAAATCATCATTTTTAATGTTTTCATCAGCAAGGTTATTCAATGTTCTCCACATTTGTTGGAAAGCCTGCCAACAGAAAGAGAGAAAACACGTAGCAGATAATCCAGAGTTGCGAGTGTCAAACAAGTATAACAGAAGGAAGCAGGACAAAGGCATTGACACCGGTGTAGACAGAGTGGCTGCGGCTTAGCCTGACAGGGAAGGGAGTGAAGCCAGGAAGGAAAGATAGGACAGGAATATAAGGGGTTTGAGGTTCAAGTCAGACTTAATTTCAAAGGTTGTTTAATCTCCATGAGGAAAAAAGAAAACTGCAATATTTGGGTCAGAGTTTGACATTTCAGAGTTTGAAGATTTTATAGAAAGAGCACTTCTAGATGAGGACAAGGTCAAGCAAAGAGTGATAAGGAGGAGGAAACTGAAGCAAAATGATAATGAAGGGCACTGCTCTAGGCAGGTCGTGGAATATGAACCAGGTATAGAATGAGTGCCATTGGAGAACTGTTGGAGACAATTCTCCACGGGTGTCTCACATTTCCACACATATGACTGTGAGCTATGTACTAAATACTCTTTATTCTCGACTATATTTTTGAGGGTATTTGTATTGTGAACAGCCTTGGAAGACAGAAAGCATCTCCCTCTGGAGCAAAGGGCAAACATGCTAACTACCCATTATAGAGATTCGGGCACCTTAAGCTCGGGGTTTCTCTCCTAAAATGCAACCTATTGTATTACTGAGGTATCATCCAGCCCTCTTCTCTATGAAAATTGAAAAACATGCTCATATTCTAGTTACTGCCATTACTGTGAGAAATAAAGAATATAAGTAATTCTTTACCTGTGACTCAGGAACCTCATAGCTTCTACCAGCAGACATGAAACTATGCCAGGTTAACTTGTTGCCTTGCAGGTAGGGTACAATCTCAGAGCTTTTACATTCTCGACAGTTTTGACAGTGAGGATGGAGTACTGGAAAATACATGGATTTCTGCAAGAGGAAAGATGATGACCTTTAACAAAATATGAACTGGCAGTAAATTTAACAAAAGAACTGTTAGTAAACATGTTAATCAAATGGTATGGTTTATGGATAACAAATAGTCCTCAAATGCATTTTTTAGTATAGAGAGAAAAAGATGGGAAGGTGATTACAGGCCTACTATAAGGAAATAGATTTAAAGACAAAGTCAGTTGTTGCTGACTCTCCTTTGTGTAGGATGACTTCCTTGCCAATCAATCAACCTCAGTTCTTTCCCCTTGTCACTTGTGTCAATATTCATCCTGGCTCCACGGGGAAATTGAAACTTTTATAATGGGCAGTGACCATGCCTGCTTACATCCTTGAAAAGATGATCTTGAACAAAGATCTATCTGTAACAAAGGAACTTCCAGAACAAAGAGCATCACCCTTAACACATGCAGAAATGCAAGAGGCACATGGAGAATTGTCTCACAACAATCTCCACTCCTCATTTCTACACTACCTTGGCATCTCATGAATTGTACTACGAGTAGCCCATTCTCTCAGCGACTAATTAGTGCTAGGACATAATCCATTCAATTTGTCTAATACAGCATTTAATTAAAGGTCCTATCAATAGAACTTCAAGCAGTGTATCTCAACCATGCCCTGCTCTGGGTCCCAGATGGGGTCAGCTGAACAAGTCTGATAAACCACCAGAAGGCTTTCTCCTTAGGTCCCGTATTGACCTTTCTGCTTACCTCAAGGCATTAGTTCATACACAGCAGGATATATTAGTGATTGCACAAACTCTGCTCTGGCCCACAAGGAAGAAGCCAAGTAAAATTTTATCATCCAAAACATCTCTTGTGAAAGTATGTTTCTTTCAACCATCACTAGAATATTTAATGAATACAGATAACAAAATAACCCAGGCCAGTGAGTTCAAACTGGCTTGAATGGCTTACAGAACCAAGATGCTGTCATTGATCATTTTAGCTAAAGTCAGACACAAATTTATTATCAGTTTTTTTAACTGGAAAACCCATGTTGCAGGTAAAACTGCCCACAGTGGGGACATAAATAAGGTCAACTTCCAAAAGTAACTAAGAATAGTTTCATTTAAGAGACTTCCACAATTTTCTGAGAAGTACATGACTGTGTTTTCTTAAACAATCCCTCCACAATTGTCTGAGAAGTACATGCCATAGTGTTTTCTTAAACACTTGTCTTACTATCGCCCATAAGGAGCAGGTTACTATGTTTAGGGAGGGAAGCACTAACACAGATTAATGTTGCTTGTTCTAACCATAATTACCATCATGTACTCTAACAGTATGTACTCCCTTGTATAATTCTTTCACTTAGCATAATGTTTTTGAGGTTCATGCATGTTACAGTAGCTTATTCCTTTTTATTGCTAAGCAGTAGTCTATCATATGACTATACATCAGTTTATTTTCTTGATTGATAAACATCTGTATTTTTTTCAGTTTTTGGACATTATAAATAGAACTGCTATAAACATTTTCACCAAGTCTTTTTGTGGACATAAGTTTTCATTTCTTTTGGGTAAATACCTAGAAGTGGAATTGCCCGGACATAGCAAAGATGTATGTTTACTTTTAAAAAGAAATACTCAGACCAGGCGCGGTGGCTCACGCCTGTAATCCCAGCACTTTGGGAGGCCGAGGCGGGTGGATCACAAGGTCAAGAGATGGAGACCATCCTGTTCAACACGGTGAAACCCCGTCTCTACTAAAACTACAAAAAGTTAGCTGGGCACGGTGGTGCGTGCTTGTAATCCCAGCTACTCAGGAGGCTGAGGCAGGAGAATTGCCTGAACCCAGGAGGCGGAGGTTGCAGTGAGCCGAGATCGTGCCATTGCACTCCAGCCTGGGTAGCAAGAGTGAAACTCTGTAAAAAAAAAAAAAAAAGAAATACTCAGAACTTTTCCAAAGTGGTTGTAATTTTTCCACTCTCACCAAAAAAGTATGAGAGTTCTGGTTACTCCAAATCCTTACCAGCATTTTGTTTTTGTCAGTCTTTTCAGTTTCAGCTATTCTGGTAATTTTGAAGTAGTATCTTATTAGTATTTTTGCTTATGTATTTTAAAGTTTGTTCATTTCAACCGTCACTGAAATATTTAGTGAATATAGATAACAAAAAAGAATAGGAAATAATAAAAAAATGTATAAGCCCTTTCCTCCAATACTATAATCCCATGTGGTGTTCAGAGAGCAGGGTGATGAGCAAGGATTATCTGGAATCCAGGCAGAATAACATTCAAATTCCAGCTTTGTGACTTTGTAACCTGAGAGTCTTTTGTATATTACATAAAATCTCTGATTTTCAGTTTCCTGATAAAATTATGGAGAAAAACACTTAAAATTATGTTCAGCATTAAACACAGAATTATATTTACAATTTTGATATGAGACAGCCTGAGCCCATTAGCTGTGACTGTAAATTGTGCTTAACTTTTTGACATGTGTTTCTTCACTTATAAAATGGGAAAATAAGCCTAAGCAGAGAATACACTTGGCATAGCTTCAGGGACATAAAATATTAACCAACTTCTATGATTTGAATGTGTCCTCAAAGTTCATATGTTGGAAATTTAATTCCCAATGCAACAGTGTTAAGAGGTGAGGCCTAATAATAGCTGATTAGGTCATGAGGGTTCTACCCTCATGAATTAATTACTGTTCTTATCACAGTAGTAGCTTGGTATCAAAGTAAGTTCAGCTTCCTTATTCTCTCTTGCTCTCACCTTCTCTTGCCTTTCTCACATCCCCCATGGGATGACACAGCATGAAGGTTCTCACCAGGTACTGGTGCCATGTTCTTGGACTTTCCAGTTCCCAGAACCATGAACCAAATAAACTTCCATTATACATAAATTACCTAGTCTGTGGTATTCTGCATTGGTATTCTATAGTAGCAACACAAAACAGATGAAGACACCAACATTTCTAGAAAATTAACTATGTACTATGCTTAGCAATCTACATGGATCATTTCATTCAAATCTCACAAGTTCTACAAGCTTAAAAGGAGGGTGCATCATTATCTCCATTTTGCAAGGGCTTTGCAAAATCTTGTGACTTGCCTCAGCTATCACAGCAAGTAGCCATACTCTGAAACCTGTGAATACACTGTGTCTGCAAAAAAAAAAAAATTAAAAAGCTAATTCTGTTTATTGCTTATTATAGTGATAGTCTCTGTTTGCTTTCATTATCCTTTTTCTAATACATTTCTAAAAGCTAAAAATAAATGTTGAATTCAAACACTAGGTGGCTCTCTGGAAGAAAAATATAAAATATATTTGATTAATTATGTGATCAATTATTGTGCTAGACAAACATCTAACAGTATTTCTGTCCTATTATATCAGCCAACAAACATAAAACAAAACAAAATGCTGTAATATTACAAGTTGGTGAAATAAACGGTGCAAGCTAAGAGCTTGCCATAGCTTGGCTAGTGGGCATCAATGGCAACCTGGGGTTCTCTGTATCATGTCATGGGCCTGAAAGTAGTAAAGGGTAAAAAGGCCTTGAACTATTTCTTCCTTAACTAAGTTCTTCAGCTTTCCTTTTGGAAATGCATACAAACAGATCATCAACTTCTATCCCATGCCTATCACGACTAGACAAGAATGTCATTTTTATCAGAAGGCACCATCTGCCTTGTGCAGCTCATCTAGAGGATTTTTGATCATATCTCATAAAACTAATCACCAAACAGCACCTAAGCAAGAGTGAAATGAGGGGCAAAATGCACACTTCACCACAGTGCAAAATCATCTAATCCCTTCAGAAAGAATTGCAAGTTCATTGCTTGTTCTGCAATCCATCAGCAAGGCCTGCAAACCATTTAAGCTCAGTCATGCACAAGTGATTACAGAAAAAATCATACACAAAATAGGTTTTCATATTAAACAGCTATTGGAAAGTTATGTCCCAGCTACATTCCTGTGTTTTGAAAAGGCAAATGGTCACATGAAGCATCAATCAACCGCTTGAGCCCAAGTGAAATAATTTGAAATAAACATTTATAAATAAATGAATCCAACTGGCTAAAGATGAAGAAGTAACTTATTTAAAGTTCCAAGGTCTTTATTTATGAGAGTATGATCAAGCTGTGGCCAATGATATGAAAAGACTTGCAGATTGCATATTATCATAGAAATGAAGATGTCACTCCAAGGTTAGCCCCATTTGAATTTATTGATGATAGTCTTTAATGTACAAGGCTAAAATGCTTGAATGCTTTAATTGAGTTACAACCTTACAAGTAAAAGGCATATGATGAAACACTGAATACATAAGGGAAAATTGTAATAAAATAAGAAAAGGAATATAGCTGCTAAAGAATTGTCCTTGCCTTGACTTGAACAACAATAACAAAAAGTTCTACTATTTGAAGAGCATTAGAAACATCTTTCACTGAACTAAAACAACAATTTGAAAAACACTCACTCATCCAGGGTGGAGGCTTCAGGTCAAAGAACATACAGAGAGTCATTTGGGAAACATTTTCCATCTTAGTCTCTCTGTGATGAATTAGGTGGCATCCCCTAGGAGGCCTTACCTTCAAAGATTCAACAGAGTCATACTCTAAGGTTAATGGGTGAGACCCACTAGCAGGAGGTATGTTTCATTTGAAATTATTCTGCTGTTACCTGTTGAGGTCTTAGCCTACTCCCCCTAAAAGCCCGCATTAGCACACCAGGATAGTACTGCTGTCGTTCAGATGGTCCAAATTATATCAAATAAATTTAAAAGCAGCAACTTCTAATGTTGAAAAAAATGTTTCCTAATATCTGGTGTTGTAAAATCCACTTTTTTTTCCTTTTTTGAAATATGTTCTACAATACACTGTATATCCACAAATATGCCAATTGCTTATGAATGCGAAATATTTTTAAGAGTTTGGTTGTAAGCATTCTGATACTGCTTAGAAGCTTTGAAGAATTCTAAATTCGTTAGGGTCCATACAGCATCTTTCTACATTTTTCTCTT